GGTTTTTTTGAGGGAAAAAAAAAAGGAGAAAGAGAAAAGAAAAAAAAGCGGGGGAGAAAAAACCAGAAGAAAAAAAAAAAAAAAAAAAAAAGGTGAAGAAGAAAAAAGACAAAGAAAGGAAGAGGCGGGTGGGTGCAAGCGAGAGGAAGTGACGAGGCATTAGTTGGAGAGATTCTAGATGTCACTGTGTGAGGAAGCAGCCCAGCAGAGGCTTTACTACTTGCTAGCTGTTACTCCTTGCTAGCTGTTACTACTTGCTAGCTGTTCTACAGGGATTTCAACTCACATTGACACAAAACGATGTGTGCTGTACCTATGCATATTTCTCCTTTTTTTAAAATATCATTTTTACTTTTTGGCAGGGGTGCTACTAAAAGGTGGATGAAAGGGGGCCCATGCCCACTTCTATAAATTTGCTGCCCCTTCTTCCACTGGTCTTCACTGCCCATGCATAATATTTCAGAAGAATACCAAGATACCAAACTTCAAATTATTTATGTATTCACTTTTACCCATCTTTAAATAATTTTTTTTTCCTTTTTCTCTTTATTTGCGTCCCTCCAGAGAACCTAATTTGGGAGTTTTCATTTAAATTCAACACACTCAAGATGGAAAAATTACAATATGGAACTTTTTTTCCCAAACCGTGCTGTAACAATACCAATGACCTACATAACACATCAACATTATTAGTGTATTATACAAGTAACGCAGACATTTTGATAAACGTCATCCTAACATAATTATAAAAAGGCTCCATTTGTTCAGTTGAATTGTTGTTTATGTGGGACTTTAGTAATTTCCATTTGTATGCCACTTAACTTTTACCTGATCCACAACTCTAGTTTTGAAAATATTATTTCTACCTACACTGTTGGACATTCCCATTCTAGCATAATGCTTTTTTTGTTTTGTTTTTTATCTTTCATGTAAATTTTTGGTTGTTTATCTTTGGTTCACACATTGAACTCTCAAAAACAATTGTGTTGGCCGGTTTGAAGGTGTTTTAATGAGTGACCAGACAGACAGGGCTGCCCCAACTCAACTTGTAGCACTGCTAGTCAGCTGGCTTTAAGTAAATCTGCGATTTTAAAAACATTGTTATCTAAAAAAAAAAGAATCCTGGGTGAAGCTCCACATGTTTCCATACCACAACTTTCTGGATTTGTCTATCATCCGGAATTACTGCCAAACATTTGTAAGTGAGGGAAACTATAACTCAGGGTGATTAAATGACAAAGTTTTGGTGTGGCAAACGTGGGGAGCTCCACCCAGCGCACTATTGCAATAAAACTACAGCTGGCTAATTTATCTCTTAACTGCTCAATTAAAGCAGTGGTTCTCCATCCTGGTCATCTGAGACAACTGGCCTTTATGTTTTATACCAGACTCTGCTCCAGCATGCCATCAAATTTACAGAATTCTGTATAAAAACATGCAATAAGTATTTTAAGATGCATTGCAAAAATGAGTAGGCCAATGCTGAAGAACTCTGCAAGTCTTATTTATGATTTTTGGATCTAAAATCTACAGAGAGATCTCAAGCTCTCCTATTTGCTTATTTTCTTTGCAGATAATATTGAAGAAATCTCTATTGTTAATAACTTTCTTCATATCAAAGTATTACTAATGTACAAAATGTGCAGAGTGTCATTTTCTGAGAAAATGCTGAAAAGGAACTGCCAGTCTTCGTCCGTCTTTCAACTTGTTTGTCTCCGCTATTGCTCAGCCCTCCTTTCATCGCCTTACTTTATTTATTTTCTTCTTTCTACTTCGTCCTCGATCGTCTGTATCGAATGACAATTACACTGAGGTCATCCTCAACTTAGTCTTAGTGATAATGACCTAAAAGTAGATACACAAACAGTCAGGGTGAGGTGCAGAGCCTGAAGGACAAATGCAGGGCGGAGGATGGAAAAACGCAGTCAATGCTGCCTCTGGTGGACAAATGGTGTAATGACCGCTGTCTTAGAATGAATTCAGTGAGGTTTTGTTTTTAGATCAAAAACTTACTGATTTAGCTGAGAATGTCCTGTTGAAAGTCTGTTGAGATACTGTTGTTTACAGTGTGACCCTGACATCTTAAATATCTGACTAATGAGAGGTTTGTAGGAAACATAGAAGCTGATCTTTGAAGACAACTTAATTACACGGATGATTCGCAGAAGGCTCATGAAAAACCTTCATATTGCTTCCCAGTCTCACAGAAAATCCGAAGTAGTCCTTATTTTTTACTAACTTATCAGAAAAAAACATGTATGTGAAATCAACTGATGCGTAGCATGGAAATACATTTCTGTCTGTTTATTTTTTAAGCTGTACCTGCAAAAGGAGATGATACTTCAACACCCGCTGCATGGGAACCACAAGCAGGTCTCTCAACGTGAACTTGCCATAATTGGCTCTTTTAGAACATTCCTGCAGAAAGATTTAATAATAATAATAAAAAAATCAATCATTAATTGTACTATACATTAATCCCTTTGGTAATACTATTTTGCATTTTTCCAGAAAGAAACTTGTTTATCTTCAAACTTACACACATGCACTAATCCATATGCTTCAAGTTTTATAGCAAAATGTAACACTTCATGAATCATCACCATCTCCTGCAATGCCTCATTTGCTCACTTGAGGGCATCCTCTTTTCACTCTGTGCAGCTTAAAAACTGCAAACGTGTCATCCTGCACTGTGGGACATTTATTCATCTCTGTCGTCTGAAAGCAGCCATGTAGCTGTTTACCTCTAGCTTCATGCGCACGTCCTCCCTGTGTTTGCAGATGTCGTCCAGGGTGGTGATGGCCGTCTCCACGTGACTGCAGTATTTCCCATAGATCAACAACCTGCGTCCGATCAGAGCAGAAGGACCAACCGGTCAGTAGCCAAAGGTTTACACAGATTTTCATACTTTTATTCCTGTTAAACTAGGAAACAAACACAGTAGGGCTGCAACTAACAATTATTTTATTAATCATTTAATCTGTCAATTATTATGATTAATCAGATTTTTTTAAAATGGCACATTCTAGAGATTTTGCATTTAGCTACGCAAGCCTCCGTTTTACAATACGAGAAATACATTTTTAAAAAGCAATTCAATTACTTAAATAAGAAAATAAAACAAAATAAATGACCTAAAATGCAATAATGGCAGTAATGTAATACATTTCAATCAGATTAGACAAAATGTATATACTTTTGAACCGTTTTCAGGTTAATTACTGCCCTGATTATATTTCTTATTTCAGCAAATGGCTGTGTATTCCAGTTTATCAATTACCAAATTAGTTGATAATTCAATTGATTAATCTGATTAATTACAGCATAATAAAAATGAAATCTGAGCACGTTTTGTCATAAAATGAAGGAATGAAAGGCTGTAATATTGCATGATGTTGTCCTGCTTTCATGATGAAGCAAAAAAAAAAACACAGTAAGAATTAGATGCTCCTGATGTTGCTTTGTACCTTTCTTTAAAACTTATGAAGATCTGGTAAAGGTTCTGGGAACCTCTCTGGTGGACCGACTCTTGGATTTCCAGCAATAAACCCTTGTGAACCTTTACCAGTTCCTAAAAAAAGCAGACAGAAAATTAAATAAATCAATGCTGACCGTAAAACATTTGTTACGATTATTTTTCCCTATCCTGAGCTCTAAAGGTTTTGTAGCAGGTACATTTCATTAAAAATTAAGACCTTTTAGTCTCAACGGACATACCTGCAACCTGACAACAATACTCGAATGAGCTTTAAACGTGACAAGAATTTTAGATGCACTTTGTTTCAATAGCAGAAAAATTCACAGAGCAAAACCTGAAGGAATTTAAAAGCCCCAGATTCCACAGTTGGACTCGAAGAAGCATCAATAAATTTTGTGGGGCAAAAAAAACTTGAGTGGATGTTTTGGTTGTCAGCAGAGAGATTCGCACAATCAGGTTTTGCTGACATTTTGTGCACATTTGAAATTGTAAATCCAGCAACCAGAACATAAATTGGTATATTATATTTCTGCCCTTTTAAATAAAGATTGGTTCTCTCTCTGGGAGCTAACTTTAGAACCTAGCTAAACAAAATCTAACTTTTTAGCAGCTAGCCATTAGCTGCCTGTCTACCAGTAAGTTTTTTTTTATCATTTTATGTAACCTGTACTTGTTTGTACTACTAACAAACAATTGCTTTGATGCTACTCTGCAAAGAAACAGAAAACACAGAAAATGTTTACCTGTTTTACCTCAGAAAAACTATCACTGTTAGCATGTTAGCATAGGGGATTTTAGCTTCTAGCATGACTGCTGCAGACCACAATACCAAAAAAGAAGTTATAATAGTTTTTTAAAAATACATGGCTGGTTTTCAGAGTAACATCGCAGAAATTGTTTACTCCTAATAAACAATTGCTATGATATTCCTCTGCAAAGCAACAGAAAAACCAGAAAACTATCACTGTCACTGTTAGCATGTAGCATATTAGCTTCTAGCAGGACTGCTGCCAGTCAAGACCACTAAAAGAACTACAATATATAAAAAAAAAGAAGACAGACAAATTAAAAATATATTACATACAAATAAGTAAAACTGAATAACAGAAAATCAGTTTGGAAATATATATTTATCAGTAGTTGGTGTGGTTCAAACTTTACTTAACGTCCAGTTGGCCGCATTTAACTCACCGGAATATTCACAAACACCTTCTCCATCTCAACCGTAGAAAAAAACATGGTGAGGGGCATCATAAAGTGCTGCGGGAGAAACAGAAAGAGAAAAGAACGCATGGGAATGAAAGCTCGTTCCTCCAGTGAACGTGGGGGGAGTCATTTTGAACGAGACGCTATTGTATTATGGAGGCCAAGCTGCAAAGAGCTGCAGTAAGCAGAAACAACCAGGCCTGTCTGGGTCACGGCAATAATCTCATTTTCAGAGTGTGCAATTTAATGATTTCCCCTCTCCGAAAACTCCCACCATACAGTCAATTCTGCATCTCAATGGAGCAGGGGGAGCACAAACGAAATTTCACCATAACAAAAGTCATCTACCGAGGCTCTCCGCTGGGAAATCAGGCAAGGGCCTTTTTTGTGGACGTGAACATACGCAAGGGGAAGAAGACAAGTGGTTTTGGCTGGGGGTCTGGAGCCGCTGGGTCTCCTACAGTCCTGGGAAAATGCAGAGTAAGATGGAAAAGATGTAGTTTTGACAAAAAAAAAAAAAAAAAAGTAATTGTATTGTTCCAGACTCCTCTTTCCAAAGTTCATCTTCCTTTACGTCTATTTTAGAAAATAAAACACGGAGTGGAAAAATACAAAATCTTGGTCCTTCTTAAACTCGTTGTACTGTTTGACAGCAAATGTATTATTTTTTTTCCCCCCTATTTGGAGTGAGTTTGTTTCAGAGTCACATTATACAGCAGGGAAGGAGATTCAATTGATTTTCAGTGCTCTTGAAAATGTTTGAAACTACCCATTAGGGGGTGCACTTTTATCTAACAAATGTCCATTTTTTTCATAAAAGCAGCTGAATGAGAGCTCCATCACACTTTGATTAAACTTAAATTACTATATTATGCTAGAAGTGGCAAATACCGATAATTTACCCCTTTTGTAAAGCTTATTTAGGTGCAAGTTGTTTTAATTACGATACCTTGCAGTTACTGTAGTCATTCTTTTCGAAAAAATGTATTTCAGTAGCTGTCATATGTAAAGCAAGCTACGTTTTGCTTACATTCAGATCTTTACTTCAAATTTCTTGTATTTTAAATAGTTTTTATGGTTTTGTGCGATTTAATTATGACATGCGATGCGATAATGGGAACAACTTCATATTTTTTATGTACGTGTTTGGGGTGTTTAGCCTTGTCGTCTCGCAGCAAAAAGATTCTCGGAAGAGTCCTGAATCCAATATTTAGTGGGGAAAATGCTGATTTTCACGCTTTTTTCCCCTGGTGTGCCTTACTCTCTACCAGTTGGGATACAAATAGATTTTATTGATCATTATAGATGCTTGGTGCAAGCCTTTGTTTCAGTTTTCTGATGGTGTGATTTGGAGATTTTTTTTGTTTGTCTCCATTTCCATCGTCTTCATTAGAAACAGTACAAAGATCACCTTAGGTTCTTGTCAAACCTTGTGCTTCACAATTCTTATTTTAGTTTTTTCTCTTTTTTTTCCAGTTTGTTTGCAGGTACAGGCAAATTTATTCATTTCATTTTTGCCGAAAATCCACACCAGATCTACAAGGTTAATTCTGTTTCCCATTAGAGAAAGGGGCCACAGTTATACTAAAGGGAAACAAGAAGACATAAACAAATTAAAAGTTCATGTTAATACTATAAATGACAAATTGTACATTACTCTCTGTTCAAAATATAGTCCGTCAGTAAACAGCAGTACATATAATGATAGACCCCCCCCATCATTTGAAACTCTGACCACCTTCAGTTTGAACTTCCAACGTAGAAAGTGAGAAACTCAATACATCTTCCTTAACTACACGCATAAACACTTCCATGTGTTCCCAAGGAACATTACCGACGTTAACTCTTTGGGTCCAGGATGTGCAAAGTATATCGCCAGTGTTGTGTTACGGTTCGTTCAGAGCAGCGTAATGACTTCCATTTGTCGGTGTGAGCGTACCTTCTCTATGGACTCCAGGGTCTCGGTGTATTTCTCCTCTGTCTGCTTGATCTCTGTTAAGCAGCAACTCCTGATGTCGATCTCTGCCTGCTTCTGGAACGCCTGCATGCACGCACGCACACACACACACGCATACAGACGCACGCAGAGGCCAGTTACTATGTGTCGGCGATGTGGGCTTACAAACTGTCCAACCAGATGTAGTTGATCCAAGCCCCAGAGTGAGGTCAGGGGTTACACATGCTCACTAAAGTGTCTGCCAAATATGAAAGAACTTTTTTTGCTTAACCAAAGGGAGAAAATGTGGCAAATTAACTAAGCATGAAATTATGTATCATGTTTCTGCCTGTTTTCCCTTTGAAAACTAATTAGGTGGAAAATTGAGATATTTAGCTTAAATTTAGTCTGATCTGCAAAAGCAGGAGTGTGTTTTTTGTTTTTTTAAACCGTTTCACCATCTGGACGTGAGATGGAGGTTACAGACGGAACACAAACCGGAGGAGGGATGGCCTCTGTCTTCATCAGGTCCTCGTAGATCTCGCCGCCTTCCTCGTCCTCGTACACGCAGGCGTACAGGTCCTCCTCGTCCTCCACGCCGTTCTCACTGTGGACGCACACAGAGCGTGTGAGTGGGGCGATCCATGCAACGTTGCGTGGAAAAATGGCTTCCGCCATCCACGCAAAAAGGCTCACGCAAAGTTCTGCTTTTTTACAGCTGTGGCCTGTGATGCCGTGCCACAAAATCCTTTCAGAAGAGGATGCTGGGTAATTTGGGAGTGTGAAGGCAGTTACGGAGCAGCCTACATGTTTTATTTTCTTAATGCTCACATCTGAGTTCATGAGGGCAAGTCGGAGGGAAAGCTTAGACTTAAGCTTTGGTATCAAATAGTTCTTTCTTGAAGAACAAAAGGTCAGCGAGTACAGCGGGAGGCACATGTAGTGGGATCCTTATTAAAAATGAATAAAAAGCTTCAGAATCAATTCATCTTTTGTTGTTGTAACGCAATTTCAAATCCAAGTCATAATTTAAGTACAGAAGTTTACATATACTGAAAAAAAAGACTCATATGCTTTTGTTCCCCCCCTCACTATCTGGAGCGAGATCAGACCAAACTTCTGCTGTTTTGTCAGAATTACCTAAATTATTTCTAAATGCTAAATGTCACTATAATGAGAGAAAGAATATGTCAGATTTATGTTTTAATGTCTTCAAAATCAGAGGTTTACATACTGAATTATTACCATCTCTTTAAACTACAATGGATAGACCGGATCCGTCATTGGGCCTGGTCTATCCAACAATCCGGCAGTATGTAAACTTATGGTTTCAACTGCATTTAGATTTTCTGACAGAGATTTCTTACAGGTCTATTGTATCCCTTTACCACAAACTGTGTGAAAGGGATTAAGAACATACTGAACAAAAATGATTAATTATTCCTCCAGTTTAATGTTTTAGCAATACCTCCGGCACTCTTAACTTTACCAACATGTTTCTTCTCACTGGAAGTAATACTGATGTTTTGTAGTGGTCCAGTCAAAGTCCAGACTTTAATCTGATAGAGAATCCATGGACACACCAGTGGAAACATGTAAAAGCTGGTAGGTATTCATAAGGAGTAAAAATCTGCCAGTAAAAATCAGTTGTTAAACGCAACTTTAATAAAACCGATTTTCCTTTCGTATTCTGTTATCATCTTTTCACAAATTTTTTCCCATCAGGCTCAGCCTTCCTGAAATGAATTTTACACCCCCAACATGGCAGTGGTTTAATAACGCTGGACTTAGCTACGGCTCTCCTTTCCAAAAAGATTTACAACATACATTATTATTATTAACCAACTGGTAATTTAAAACTGCACAGGAAATTTCGGGCCGGTCCAACTACAAGAAAGATGCTGTGTATAAAATGGATATTTTTCTGCTGCCTGTGCGAGTCGCATTCACAAGTAAATGGAGATTCTGATGAGAAAAGCAGAAGTTTATGGCTACATTTCGGGTTTTTAAAGATCTAGAAAGTTTCTCTTTGCAGATCAGATGGATTATTTCTGCAAAGTCAGCAGTCTTCATGCTTTTCTATTTCTTTTTTTTTTTTTTTTTTTTTGCATGTAAATTTCTGGCTCTGGCTTTTACGTTTGGAAAACTTTAAATGTGTCCGACCTCATCCTGCAGCTGGCTGGCTGGTTTATCTCTGCCGCTGCTTCCTGTGCAAATGGAGCTGTCAACGCTAAACATAGAGCAGATCACTGCGAGGCGTCCCGACATCTTTATTACCGGAGGACTCATCTGCCCCCGCAGGCTTCAGTTACAATCCTAAAACGTCTTCATAGCACGACTGAAGAATTAAACTGCACACAAAAGGTACCATTTCAAAGTTTGGTGTATTTTATGGGGGATTTTATGTAATTAGACAAACACTAGTTCTGGAAAAAAAATGAAGAGCCCACTTCACGGAACCCCATTGAAAACCTCCTGGTTGTTCCACCAAACATTAATTTCTGAACACTTCCTGAGTTAAAACATTAGTATTGTTGTTTCTAAACGAATAATTTGTTTTCTCTGAATTCTTCAAGGCCTGAAAGAACTACATCTTTTTCATCATTTTCTTCACCATTTCTCATTTTTTGCAAATAAATACACAATTTTTGCTTGGAATTTCAGAGACAAGTTGTCAGTACTTCACAGGATAAAAGAGCAATGTTCATTTTACTCCAACATATACCTATAAAAAGTAAAATCAGAGAACCTGATCATTTTAAGTGGCCTCTCAAATTTTTCCAGAGCTGTAATTGTGAAATAAAAAGCAAACGCTGAGTTTTCAAAACAGTTTACATCGAAGCGCGGCGTGCGTTTGGCTTCAGGTCCTTTTACTCCAATAGATCAGGGAGAAATTTGTGGAGATGTTTATCCGAGGCTTCGAACGTCTCACGGAGGAAACGGGGCGCACAGATTTCAGTTTTCTGGCCAATGCAGAGTTTGTTTGTTTTTTTAAAGGCTTTATTGGCTCTAGTGGCCTTTCTTTGATAGTTAGTTGACAGGAAAGTGGGTAATGAGAGAAGGGGAAGACATGCGGCAAAAAGTCGCCAGGCCAGGAATTGAACCAGCGACAGCCACGTTGAGGACTGAGGCCTCCATATGTGGACTGTGCTTAACCCCTGAACCACCACAGCAAACCCACCGATGCAGAAAAGTTGAATAGTTTTTGCAACGTTGTGACCGAAAATAGAACCGTGGACGAGCCGACAGCTCAAATTCAGTTCAAAACGATTCTCAGACGAAAATCAATAACAAAAAGGCCAATGTGTTGTCTGGCTATGTTTAGATGAAAGCATAACTCTACCCGCTGACCTACTTGCAGTTAGAGTGGATTACATTGTACGGCTATTTTTCTTTGACTTTTGAAAAGTTCAAAAGTCTCAAAATGTGCCAGCATGAAGCTAAAAAAGTTGATGTAATTATTTTAATCTCTTATTCTGTCTGATCCCGGGACATTAACCTCACGAGTAAAAATCATGTCGGGCTGATCTGGATAGCATGAGCTGTATCGTTTCAAATAATAATAATAAAAAAATCTGTTATTCAACAAAAATCTGCAAAAGCTTGCACTAAATGGGGCGTGAATAACGGATGACGAAAGTCCAGTCCCACACAACTTGTGGTAAACTGAGAAAAAGCTGTGGGGCGGCGAGGGGAGACTGAGCGCACGCTGGGAGCAGCGGAGGAGGTGGCTGCCTTCCAGTCGACACCCAGGGAACAAACGCTGCCCTCGTCAGCAAAACGCTCTTTTGTTTTAAAACGGCAGGAAGCGGAGACGTTTGTGTTCGAGGAGGAAACGTACTCGATCAGGTCCTCCAGGTGGTTGTAGATGTCCTCGTCTTCCACGCGCTCCTCTGTGGGAAAATGCCTGCGAGAGGAAACGCACATTTATTATTTGTGAAATTATCAGAAGATGTTTTACTGCGTGTTAGGTGCACAGTTTTTTTTTTTTTTTTTTTAATAAAAACGACGTACCTGATTCCCGTTTGCTGTGCGATGCTCGTGTGGGAAAGTTTGGACAGCGTGTCCATAACCTGGGACAAAAAGAGAGAGATTGTTTTAGTTTTTTAATCTAACTTTTTTTTTTACATCACAGAACAGAAACTGAATGTTATCCTACGTTTGGACACAAGAGGGCAGCATTTTCTAATACTTCTGAAAAACCTGAGCTGTTGTTACAGTAGAATTTTATATTCAAACCTTTTTACAGTAAATCCAGTTAAATGGAGATTATTGGCCATATCCCTTTACCTCCACCATTTTAGCCACATAAACATATTTTTTGGGAGATTTTAAAAGGACAAAATCACTTCAAATGGTAAATAATTGTTGAAGGAGAAAAGCGGTATGTGATTTTTATTTTTATATTATTTCCGGACAAATATCTGAAACTACACTGGATGGTTTTGTGTACAGCTCCTCTGCTGTTATATATTTGTAGAAAAACCTGCATGTCCTTTGAGACACGGCTAACTGCACAGCAGGTTTTCCTGCGGCTTTCCTCAACAACGTTTACGTCTAAAAGTTTTCCCGCCATGAAAAAAAATAAATAAAAGTGATAATATTACCTAATTAAATTTGGTAGTCAGTTGGTATTCCCAGAGTGAGAAGGGATTCATACCACACACTTTTTAGATATTTTTCTTGCACAGTTTAAAAACCTAAACTCCTTTGTGTTATTCTGCCTCATAAAATTCTAACAAAATTCATGAACATTTCCAGAAGCAACAGGGCAAAATTCAGGTATTTCAAGCAGAAACAGTAGTCGGAGCTCTGCCAAACGCACACAAAAAGAAAACATTACCTAACCGCAAGAGTAATTGATCACTAGGTTTGTACGATTACTGATATACGGCCCATACATTAAAGCTGCTGTGCTCAGGCCTTCCCCCTGTACTGTGCACATGTTTGAGCTAGCGATGAATCATCCCTGATCTCACCTCTTGAATAAAACTTTAATGTCGCTCATTCACGCCCGACGACCCCCTTCCACACCACGCTTCCCTTCCCAGGTCACGGCTGCACACTTTCATCCACACCAAACGCATCACATGTGTAACATGGATAAATCTGCCCCGCAGCCAGCTCTCCACGATCAATACCGGTCAGTCACACAGCCGGCCTGTCCCTCCCCCCCTCAACCTCCCCCGCTCCGTCCAGTAAATGGAGTAAACAGTGGCACGGTGAGGACAGACCCAGGGATCAAGTTGTCCCGGCCAACATCCTTCCCCCAGCTCCAAACTCACAGAGCTCTGGAAGCTGCTGCTTTTTAAATCAGCATCTGTGGCTTTTACTATCAGAAAAGCCCGTTAGGTGAGCTGGCTCCTGTGGGGTCGCGAGGTGAAAAAGAAAACGAGTGACACTTCCACGCTCCCGTCGTCGTCGTCGCATCCGAAAACATTTCCGACCGCTGGGAACAAGTTGACGTTCGGCTGCGTGACGTCAGAGCAGAGTTTGTTTGTTTGCTTGTCGGCTGCAGCTTACGATCAAAGAGAAATATCAGCAGGGAGCAGATGAGTGGTGGGAGGTGGCGACTCCGTGTGGCTTCGCAGCAGTGGGCGGCTGCAGATCATCGGGAGAACATTAATTAACTTGTACGCACTGACTTTAAACTGTCATTAAAACACTGAAAAATAAAAAAAAAATAAAAAAAATCTGCAAAAGCTGAAAAGTGAGCTGCAACACATCAGTGTGCCGCTGTGCATTCTTTAAAATGTTTTATAAATATAAACATGACAGCTTCACGTCTGGTAGACAAAATCCAGGGGGAAAACCCCCCCACAAAACTCACTGAATGTATCCTAATCCAATTGCTTTGGGTGCCAAGGTATCACAGTGTGTACAATCACTAAGCAGATTGTGTTCCTCAGCAGTAGTTTATCTGCTGAGTGAATACAACACACAAAGTCGCTTCAAAAATTAACTGAAGTGAATGATTTCAACCTGAGGGGAATCTGCTGAGACTGTATGGTGCTGTGCAAAATGACATAAAAAGAAACAAAACCTAAGTAAAGGTAGTGAACAAAAAGGAACTGCCGTTTACCAGTAGCAATGCTAACCATGCTTGTGAGGTGGCATCGTCAAGGGGTAAAAAAAATAAATAAATAAAAGGTGAGAAGAAAGCAGAATCAACAGCCAGTTCCAAGACCTTCTCAAGTTGCCAAACACTCTTATTGGTTTTATGCAGGATTTGCAACACACCTGCACTTCGTTAGACTGCACCATGAGAGGACAGGTCACACCGAGCAAGAAAATCTCAACATAGAATCAGGAGTAAGGTTATTAATCTAATTTGCAAACTAAATGATCTGCAAACTAAAGCATTTATGGCAGGGCAACTCGAAAGGGTCACTTTAAAGAAAACAAACAGTGCAAAAAGAAAGAAACTCCTCCGTTTGGTTGTATCTGATGATGCAAGCAGTGACATCATACAATTTGACCAGGAAGTGCTGGGTTGGCCCCTCCCACACATCTCAAGGGACAAACAATGGTGAGTGCAAAAGATGCTAAGTTTCGACTCTTCAAGCATTTTGTCTCTGTAATATTACCAACACCATTTTTATTTTTTTTTTGCACACAGACCACTTTCTCAAACACACAGTGTGACATCACCCCTGCTCCTAACGTAAATAATTACTGACAACTCGCTACGGGAAGACCGACATCTGTCAAAACTTTACAAGATCCAGAGACTGGAAACTATAATGGATGTAGCTCTTAAAGAGAGTAGTTATATAAAAGCTATTTGAGACGGACATCTTTTAAAAGTCATGCAAGCAAATATTGTGTTCCCAGTTGATTTCATTAGTCATCTAATGTTGATCACTAAACCTCATTTTAATATAACCTTGTAGCATAATAGCTTTAAAAAGACAAAAAAAAAAAAGACACGAGTGTGCGTACATAGATAACGTTTAGTCCTAATTTATCAATGCTCGTTCTTTTCAGTGCTGCAGCCTGAAACGTGTGAACGACCCATTTATGGGTCAGAGGTTCTCCCGTCTTCCGCTAACGCTTTGACGCGCAGACGTTATGAATACTGATCTCTCCACTAATGAAGGTCGTGTACGACATCTGGATGCCGGTTCGTAGGTACAGCGTGTGCAGAAGCTGCTGAGGATATCTGGAGGTTTTCCAGTTGTGGCTTTCAGGAGACTCTCCAGGGTGAAGGGCGGGAGAAGCAAGCGAGGGGCTACAATATTTTGGCTTCGCTGACTTTATGAGTCACAGTTTCACAAACTCAAATGACCATCTGTACAAAACTAAAGAACATGAATTAGATTTGTTAATACTCATAGGAGTGAGATCAGCATATGGGAGTGTCAGACTCTAAGAGGATATTTGGGTGTTTACTCCTTAACAACCAGGAAAGGAAAAACATATGGCATCACCTATAGTGATGCTGTAATCTCACACACCTATAGTGTGTGAGATTTTTTTTTTACAGGTCACTACACTTGTTTCAGGGGACTTTTTGTCCAGAGGAAAAGGGGCAGGAACTCTAGCACCACCTCGTGTCTATCTCTGCGTGTCTCTAAGCCAAAGATAGCAACGAAAGCAGCTCTCACACCATTTCTTGAAGAAAGTGTGTGATAGAAACCGTCATCAGGGATGGAAGCTGTTTGCTCAGTTCTCTTTCTGAATTTTCTCATCCGTAGAAAGTACTCCTCTTCTAGTAGTTATGCGTCTTACTGCGACTTACATCAGATTGTTGCTCGTTATCCACTGCAAAAACATGAAATGTTATAAAGTATTTTTGATCTAGTTTCTACTGCAACTATTTTTGTACTCTTGAAACAAGACAAGACTAACTTACAAGTAACTTGTTAGCAGGAAATAAGTTATAAGTGAAGTTATTTGGCAGTGGAGCGAGTAGTTCCTGATCAACATTAAAAAATTATCTAGTATCTACTTGAAACAAGCTCTTATATCTTGCAGAAAAGTTATTTGTAAGTCAGTTCTGTCTTCTTTCAAGTGCACTAAGGGATTTGCACTAGAAACTAGACCAAAAACACTTGGTGAGGTTTTGTGTTTTAACAGTGTGACCTTGGTTTTGTTGAACGTTTCTTTCTTGCTTGCTCAGAATGACGGGAGTGGAAAATCAACAACTCAATGCGATTGGTTGGACTCGTACAGCTGGATGAGATGGCTCGAATTAGATGACAACGTGATGGGATGACATTTGAAAGAATGTTTTTGGATTGAATAAAACGCTGCACTTTTCTCTATACAGAGCCAATAACGAGAACCAAAACTGACACGTACAGTCCGCAGTCTATTTTAAGACGGAAGTCATTCATTTCACACGCAGCTTCTGCGTATACACAGCAATAACGCTGCGGGTGTCACATGTATTTATATTGATAATTAAAATATTAAAATATTAAAATATAAAAAAATTAAAATATTTCATTAGAACAGAGCAACAGAAAGTAGGTCATTAACGTGAAGTGGAAGTGAATTACACAAAAGTAACAGTTTCAAGAAACAAAAATCTAAAGAGAGCAGCTTGTGTGTAATTTAATCTCACATTACCTAAAACCAGCAACGGAGCTACAGTGCAGTGGCTTAGATTAAATAAACTAAATAAATTTGCCATGTTTTACAGGGTTCTAGTCAAAGTCCAGTTCCAAATCCAATTGAGTTTTTATTTGTAGAAAAAAAGAAACTGCAAACCAAGTCGCATTTTCCTTCCTCTTCACAATTATGTGCTGATTTGCATACATTTATGCATCTATAGATGTATCTTTAATGGGATAAACTATGAATATAAAGTGATGTGAATAGGCCTGCCACAATAGCTAATTTTGCTGGATGATAAATTGTCCTTTTAATTATTACAATAAATTATGATATTGTTGAATTTAGACCATCTTCAGGTAATATATAAAACAAAGAAACTATAATTTTTGTAAAGAACATTTAGTATTGGAACTGGAAGATATTTTAAATATCCAACATAAAACACAACAACTAAAAACAGTAAACAAAACAAAAATTTAATCTGCTTATAACTAAAACCATGAATAGAATG